AAAAAGCAACATCTGCCATCTGGAACTATTTTGGATACAAAAAGGTTCTTCTCTTCTTCATTCACAGATGAACCCCCTTATTTGAGGGGAAGCAACATGCATTATCATGACATGTTAGATCATGACTTAAGGTATGATGAGTCAACCAGTTAAGATCCAGACGTCCGTGACTAAAATCCTTCATCCGGTTAAATATGGTAGTTAAAAAAAACACAATATATATCGCAGGGGAAATAAATATCGCAATGTCCGTTTTTTTCAATATCGTGCAGCCCTAATGTATGTTTGTGTTGCATTACTCAGCATAAGTGATAATGAATCTATCCATCACCCCGCCCTGCGTCTGATGCTCTCATTACAGCCCATCATGATTCACGAGTAACTCATGCTCCATTTCTCCTCTTCATTAAACAATTCCATCGTTTCTCCACCTCGTGGTGAGAGCCACACTGCTGGGTCTGAGGGGCCATGAGCTCAAACACGTGAAAGATCATAAGGCAAAATGTCTTAAAACTTGTTTTCCACATCTGGCTGGCGTGACTTTTGACCTTTTGATGCCTGATATTGGGCTGCTTGTAAATGAAAGAAATCAAGTTTGAATTGAATCCAACGTTGATCTAGTTTATACATGCTTAAGATGTCACGTCATTGTAAACATTATAAGATAGAACAACTCAGAGCTAATCCCTACTACAACAGATACATTTCTTACAAACATATGGAAATTAAAGTTATTTTGTACTCTCTGGGTTACAGCCACAGACAGAACAATGTTTGAGAAGCTTCAAGCTAGTGCAGGTAATTCAAACTTCAATATGTGAAGACATTTGTTTGGGATAAAACCGCACCTTGAACTAAATCAGTACCACTTTTGTAACTGCCAGAATATTGCAGGCCAATGTTTGGATACACAGCTTTTAACAATGTAGTAAATAATGTAAAAAGCATGATTCTGACAGTCCCCATGCAGTGTTGAAGCTCTGGAGGTTCATTCTGCAGAGAGATCAGATAGTGAGCCCTGAACGTTGTGCGGGCAAAGCACTTTGTGTTCAGATTACATCAGTGTCTGCTTGGGATGTCTCAAAGTGAACATGGACAGGCTGTAGTCTACACGCCTCCTTGCAACAGAGACCTTTGCATTTCAAAGGTTGTTTTACTTATCTATAAAATAATATTAATATATATATACAGTAGTCCACCAGCCTGCAGGAGGATCATGTTTTAAGTAGAATTAAAATAATCACAAAATGCAGTTGTTTGAGTGCAATGTGTGTGTTGGGAAAACTGCATTGCTTTAAAAACAGTAATTACTTTGAAATAGTTTGAGAGAAAATATGTAACAGTTAACCATACCAGGCTCTCACAGAACAATTAAGCTTTGCAGACATTTGGTTTGCAGATATACAATCAATCAATGATGATGAGTGGTCTTCAACATTCAGAAAAACAAATTGCTCATTTCATAGCCCTACATCTCAAACCATGAACCACTAAAAGCCCTGAGGTTTTTCTTCAGTGACTCCAGTAGTTTACTCATTCCTCCCGCAGCATCAAAGTCAATCTGCTCAATCAGCTGAACACTGAGAAGAACAACCTCCCCACTTTGTCCAGGATCTTTGAATGTGTTTTTCAACCCATTAACTGAACAAAAGCACGGAGTACTGAGAGAAAGACGAGTTCACTCGACAACAGATGCATCTGCTGAGTAAACGTCATTGTGAACACTGAGGTCATGTCGTCCATATTTATTTTGTTCATTTCCATTTTTCACACAAAGACACAGTTCATTCAGGAGTGGGAAGAATGGCCTGTATGTTTTCTCTAATTCAAGCTAATCTGAAGGAAGCTGTACATAAGGAACCCCGAATTAACAAAACAAAAGTGCTTTAAAAGAAAGAAATGAACGATAAAATATATGTGTTGAAAGGTGAAGGATTTGCATCCGTCAATAAGTACTGCAAGATTAAGAACAGATAACTAATTGTGATATTTCTACTGATATTGTGATTCAGTACGACACACAACAATAGAGGAATTTACATTTTTGTTGCATTATTATTATTATTATAATTAAAAATAAATTGAAACTATCATGGTTTGATTTTTGAAGAGGATCTGTGCCAAACAAATATGTTTGAATTAATGCTGTCAAAATTATCGCGTTAACGGCGGTAATTAATTTTTGGAATTAATTGCCTCAAAATATTTAACGCATTTAACGCATGTGCAGAATGGCCCGCCCCATACATCCCACCAGTGGCAGCGCCAGAGTATGGGGTAGGCTACAGCCATACCAAGAAATGGCTTAGCCCCACCATGAAAAATTATGTTAAAGTAAGCAAAATAAAGTCCGCCAACTCGCGCGGAGTAAATTGCACAGACGGCAGTTAGTAAGATTGATTTCAGTAGCCACTTGTCTGGAAATACCGAAGACTAGAAACGGTTTTGAAAACTTTTGTCACGTAGTGATCGTCTTCTCAATAGAACATCTTTGATAATGTCTTCTGGCCAATCAGAATCAAGATAACGGAGTAGTGTTGTTGCAGGAAGTCCTGACGGAGAATACTTTTGCTGTAGTAGGCTACATCTCTATATACATCGATACAATTACGTGTTGATAGAAATCAACACGTAATGAAATAAGACCCCACGGTTTGATGATTGATAGGTGTGTGGGCTGTCTTTCATTTTGACACACAGAACAATGTTATAATAAACATAAACATACATACTGTATGTTAAATGGATATATCCGCCTTCTTTCATGTATCTTTCCATTCCCACAACAATATACATAAAGAAATGGCATATTTTGGACATAGTTCGAATGGTGATTAATCATGATTAATTCATTTTTAAGCTGTGATTAATCTGATTAAAAATTGTAATCGTTTGACAGCCCTAGTTTGAATATACACTACCAGTCAAAAGTTTGGACACACCTTCTCATTCTAAGTTTTTTATGTATTAGAATTTGTTTTACATTGTAGATTTATAATGAAGAACTCAAAACTATAAAAGAACACGTGGATTTTTTAACACTTTTTTGTTAACTAGATAATTCCATATGTGTTCTTTCAAACAAAAAACATTGAGTAAGAAGGTGTGTCCAAACTTTTGACTGGTACTGTATTTCTTTAAAAAAAAAAAGGATATGTAGGCCGGGATAATTCTGTAGAATACAATTCATTCATAATGGTATTTTAACACATACAGTATACAGCCTTTAACAGTTATTGTGCTTCCTGTGATTTGAATATTGCACCACATAACGAAAACATGTGCAGCCCTAGTGTCAGAGGCCACTGACTGGCTCTATCCACCTTCTGTAGGCTCAGATATTTTAAAGGCTGACCTGCTCTTTCCGGGCGGGGGTGCTGTGTCCGGCGGCGGCGGGGAGCTCTGATTGGTTCTCAGGCTCGACGGGTTCGGCGGCTGCTTTGGCTTTCCCCTTCTCCTTGTCCTCCTGCGGCTGCTTGGCCTCCGAGTCTGCGCCTGATTCAGTTGTCATGGTTAATCACGCTGGAGTGGGGGAAAGAGGGAAAAAGGGATGAGTCAGCTGACTTGTTATGAATTGATGTACTCTCGGCTTTGCAGCCCAGTGTAATGAGAAGCTCCTCTCCGAAGCGTACGCAGAGATGAGGATATTGTTTGACAGCAGAGTAAAAAATGAAATTAATTTAAGTGGCGTTTGCGCACTCAAGTCCCGTTCTCAATAATCTCAGGAGTGTCAGCAGCTGATAATGGAAAGTGCCTAGATGGCTAATTCCCTGTCATCCACAGTATCCACGATATACTGCGTGTCATTTCACATAAACTAGAGACGCCAAACGCTCACAACTGCAACTATCATTATCATTTTCTCTCTACGAATCTTCTGTAAAATGTCAAAATCTTCCCCAATCCATGCTTATGTCTTGCTTGATCCAAAACACAAAATAATAATAAGTTTATAATGGTAAAAATATAATCGAAAATCAGCAAATGATATCATTAGAGAAGCCTCAACCAGACAATATTCAGCATTTTTCAAAGTTCAATTGAGTAAAATATGAAATAAGCAATTGCTTCAGCTCTTGCAGAACATCAAACATCAATTAAACAAATCCTGAAAATATGAGGAATAGCGCAATCTCCCCCCTCCAGTCTCTACGCAAAGTATTTACAAACAAGTATCCAAAGTATCTGAACAGCTCGAGTACATGCCTTTCATAGCATGACCTTCTCCCTCTTTGAATAGCAGCATACCAGCGTCAGATGCCATACCAAGGGCCTGAAACTAGGTAATGAGGGGAAACATGTATCGGCCGGTTTTGCCAAGCGAATATGACAGATAGGACGGATCTCACTGGGGGCTCCTGTGCTAAACCCACAGGCTTAGACTCTGGGAAGCAGGGTTAGCAGGGCGGGGCTACCAGTGTCTGGGCCCCTGCTGCCTGCGGTCAGTAGTATGGATGCCTGTCATTCTGCAGTTGGCCTGCTTCTGCCTGACTTCTATTTATAGAGCCGTGTTTACTCCGGGCTGGGAGGATCGCTGACTTCCAGCCGGGGACAGCAGCCTCTGGATCCACAAACTGTGGGCTGAGGTGATCCCCAAAACTTCAGACATTTGAACAAAGTTATTTGCCCTACTTGTATAGGTTTGTTCTGTTGCCATATATTCATTCATTTTCATATATTCATCAGTTTTAGTCTAACATACTAGACTTATAGAAATGTATTTATTAGGATAAAGCCCCTTAAACCCCTTGAGATGCACCATTTTGTTTTCAAGGGGGTCCCGACAAAAGCAACGTCTTACAGACATACATGAACAAAATAACAGAAAGCAAAGCATGACAAACAGGACAAACCACGTACAGTCTGTTAAGTAAAATATACAATCATTACAATTCGATAGACAGTAGTTACTAATAGATCAGTTTCATTAATCACAAGAGCAATCGTGTCAAGTAAAATTTGTGTGGCAAGACTGCTATTTTTATATATTAATTGTTGTGCCTTTTTCATTTTGAGTATGAATATATACATACAGTATATTTATATAATTTCAATCTTTGGGACGGTGAGAAACGGCATTTCGGTCCCCCTGTTCGTACCACATACACAGAGAGAAATAAAGTTGACTTTACTGAAAACTACAACTTTTTGAGACAATGGATAACTTGAAAAATGAAGCATAATGGAAAAAAAACACATTTTGAAACACATCAAGCAAGAATTCGCTTTTTGGGGGGGGGGGGTCGAGATATTTTGTAAAGTGTAATGAGAAACATGTCTCAGTCAGAAAGCTTGATCACTAAATGTGTCCCTACAGAGAGGAACATAACTGGATGGATACACAGCTGGAGTCCATGCTCTCATCAGGCATCCGTGTTGTTATGTTAAATCTAACACTCAGTGACGTACTGTATGCATTGATAAAAAATACTTGAATGTGAACAGAAATCAAGTTTTGTAGTCTCCGATAAAGCGCCACAGTTGTGATTATGAGCTTATAAAACAAACATAACCTCTTGATTAAATATAATTAGGTTTTACAGCTTAATAAAATGCAGAATGATACAAAATTTAAGTAGGGAACTTTGTGTTTGAACGCCAAATGATAATTCGTCTGCGCTAATGAGCACTTGGTTTGATTTCCAATGGAATAAATTAAAATTGATTTACAATATAAAAGCCAAATCAAGCTTCGCCAAGTAACAAAAACAACTTCAGAAGAGAAAGATTTTAATTATTAAATAGATCACAATTATGTTGACTCGTAAAAGCAGTAAATCGAGACTTTCTGCATTTCGGCACTTTCTTTCAAAGGTCATGTACGTAAAGGGGTCCCTGAACGCAACATGCTGATTAAACTCTTTCTAATGTTCAACTTCAAGAACTTGCGATCAAACTGCTGTAAAGATGAGCTAATCTAGATCAGAGTACCGAGTAGCAGAAATGTGAATGAAGCGATGAAGTCACAAGATCCAAATTCAAACCCTCCACGTTTTTCCAAGTGTGGATAACTAACGGTAAAAGACCACTCGGCCAAATTCACAGGAGCCCTCTTTCAAAAGCGCTCAGCTATACTTTGTTGTGTCATGTGTGACAGAGTTGAGGAGCGGCTCAGTAATCAGCTGACACATGATGTCTGCACACAGCTAACCTTTGCTTCTCTTAACCCCCCATATGAAACAGGAACTATGGTAGGAGGGGAGGAAAGGAACATCTTAGCACCATAGAAATGGAGGAAGAATACGTTCAGTCACTGGTGACAGGCACTCTTCACAGGGCCACACAACAGCCCACACAGTGGCCTTGTGTGTGGGGCCCTCACCATGGACTGGCACATACATTATGCATTCAGAAAGCTGTATTCACAACTCATTTAGTGTCCCGATGGTATACAGGAGCGGCGGATGATTGCACCAATATCGCCTTATCATATTGACAATAAGAAACAGCTAGAGAAAAAGGGTTTTTATATCTTAACATCTCTCAAACTTTTGAAGAAATAATCACCTGCTTTGCTGCTCTATTGCAGAACAATCTTGGGTAACAGATATTAATTTTTCCTAGGTCATGAAAGCTTGGACTTTTGCTGACAAACAGCTGGTGTTTGGTACGTTTTGGGCAGCAAAAATCCTCAGACACATAAGAAGTAGGGATGGATTCAGATCCAGTATTGACACCAAATGAAATCTTGAAATCCCTCCTAGCCCTTACAAGTGCAAGTAACTGCAGGCTAAGATAACAAATACTCACAGACAGATGTCTAATCAACTTTTGTTGGTTGAGGAGTCAAACGCAGCGGTTTTTGCAGTTCTATAATGTTCACTAGCTTTAACTACAGTATGAAAATAAGAAGCTGCTACATATAGGTTTTCCATTTCACTATGATATTAAAAATATGGGGAGAAACAGAAAAAAACGTGTTATTTATTCAAAATTCTGGGTATTTTGTAGACTGGGAACCAGATCCAAAACGAAAGCAGCAATCTGAGCCCATCCCTAAAAGGAAGTAGGTCTTCTACATATGGTTCTTGCATCAATACATCTAAGGAAGCAGTAGCAGCCACCAGACTGAAGAGACAAAAGCAAAGAATGCTGACACACTCAAACCTTGCCCACAAAACAACACTATAACCACAAGCACTTTTTGTAAAAGATGTCATCAAATGCATCTCTAAAGAAAACCACATAAACACAGCGTTTCACTCGAGTGTGTCCTGATGAAAAACAGCTTTTTCCTCAGTTGCACTTGCAGATAAAAACTGATATTCTAAGAGGAAGGACAAGCAGAAGCCATACATCAGCAAAAGAACAATTATTATTTTAACATAGCACGCCTTTTTCTTCTTTCCAATATAAATCAAGGTAACCCTGAGTTGAATCAAACCCACTGTCCGCCACTAAACAAATTAGAGATGTCCCGATCCGATCACGTGATCGGGGATCGGAGCCGATCACGTGATTTTCAAAACTGATCCAATGCTGCTGTGAAAAAAAGAAGCTATATGCATGTTGGATAGAATATCCAATTTAAATAAAAAAATAACCTTAAGGGACAACTTGAATGTTTTTTTTCTTAATGCATTGCATAAAGATCGGATCGGGAAAAATCGTTATCGGCAAATTGTCAAAATCAAATTATCAGAATCGGAAGCAAAAAAAGGTGATCGGGACATCCCTAAAACAAACCAATTTAATCAGAACATCCAATTTAGAAGGACTTGTGAGATTGAAGTGGATATTTATGTGCAAGCTCAGCAAAGGTTTATTAGTAAGTAGCTACATTACATCATTGATCATGGACACTAAATGCTGTGCATCTGCCCCCATGCATGCAAACTTCCATTTTTAAGGTCCATTTGTGATTGTAACGCATACTGTTGGAAAGTGGCCTGTGCACATGGACACACACTCTCAGGAGGATGAGGGGCCGCCATCTGTGCAGAGTGCTATTAGCCGGAGTACACCACAGCTGGGCCCATCCCTGTCACCCCTGCCCCCACAACCATAATACCCCTGGGGGCTTACGGAGGTTAGACAGAGGGGAATAGTTGGCGTTTTTTGACACGTCCTGGCCCATCCCCAGTGGGCTTGTAGTATATGATGCGACCCCTCTATATGGCTACGGGGCTGACAGCTGTCACACACACACACACACACACACACACACACACACACACACACACACACACACACACACACACACACACACACACACACACACACACACACACACACACACACACACACACACACACA